ACAGCCACGAGCCCGTCACCAGTGGAGGTGGAGAAGGGCAGGCCTGGGGGCCGGGGGTGTGGGGGGAGGTGACCCACAGCCACGAGCCCGTCACCGGTGGAGGTGAAGAAGGGCAGGCCTGGGGGCTGGGGGTGTGGGGGGAGGTGACCCACAGCCACAAGGCCGTCACCGGTGGAGGTGGAGAAGGGCAGGCCTGGGGGCCGGGGGTGTGGGAGCCCGAGCCGACTTCAGCAAGCTGAGTGGCAGCGCCTGTTTCTCCCCTGGGATGGCAGGTAAATGGCGCTCCTTCCCCTCGGGGTGTAGAGACAGAGCCGCTGCCAGGCTGACACCCACCATGCCTGCGTCGGCCACCGTCTTGAGCTCCAGGAACAGGACGCGCTCCTGCCCGGGCTGCCCCGGGGTGCAGGTCACAGGGGCGCGGTTGTCGTTGGCCAGGAAGAAGCGGTTGCCCTTGCCGCCTGCGCCCCCGAGAGCAGCGATGTACTCATCACCCGGGTGAGAGAGGTCAGCCACGGTGTCCTCTCCCTCCTTGACCAGAGTGCCCAGGGGGACCTGGAAGGGGCAAGTGTTGGCAGTCTGAGGACCACGGCCGGAGGCAGAGGCCACTTGTCCCTTCCTTCTGCAGTACATCCGGAACGAAGACCAGGAGAAGAGAGGACGGTGCCTGCGGAGTTACCCCATTTTGGAACAGGGGAGGGGGCACGACCGCACCCGGCCCTTTGCGGAGCTACAAAGCACGAAGGAAAGGCCCTGCCCCGGAGGACGGTGACACTCCCTTCGAACAGTGCAGACGGCTTTTTCAAACAGTGTTTCTCAAAGGTCTGGGCGAGTTGAGGCGCGGGAGAAACCCGCGACCGGCTGGGAGAAGGTGAACCCTCAGCACACGAGGGGGTGCACCACGAGGCTCCGCTGCAGCGGGCCCGAGGGTGGGGAGACAGCAGGGTGGAGCTGGAGGGCTCCCCCTTCTACAAATCGCTATGTCGCGGGTTTGTGAATAGGTCCCTCAGGCTCACGGAGTGACATGAGCACGAAAGCCCGTCTGCGGGTCAGCATTAGGACAACTGTCTGTCTGCCTCGGTCTCTTAGTGTTCCTGACTGTGTGCTTCAATCAAGGGGGCCCTTGGAGTCACACAACAGAACCCTGAGACGCTTGGCCTCTGGCTTACCCGGATGTAGAGGGGACCCCCGTTCCGCCCGCAGCAGTTCTTCCTGCTGCCGTCCTCACCGTGGGGACCCTGATAGCGGGTCAGGACCGAGGACAGAGACTTGACTTGCCTGTCAGCTGAAGGACAAAAGGACTTTCACCCTGCAGTTCAGATCATCTGCACAGCGTCCATTTCCTTTTGTTCAGTTACAAACACGAACAATGCATGTGGCAGCATGAATGAAGCGGCAGCGGAAGTTACAAAGCTGGCAACGGGATTTTTTTTTTAAAGCTAAGTTCTTATTTCCCTTCAAGAAAGCCCATCAAAGCTGCTTTGGTGCGTTATTGAAATCTGAATATCTGCACAGTGAAAACAATGTCCACACAGCAGTCTTTACTTCCCATCCATGTCAGCCTACAGAGGCGGAACTGACGCTGGCCCGCCCCAGAGCGCCCTCGGGCACCCGCCTCTCAGGACGCTATCTCCCCGAGACGCCCTGGGTCACCTGCCTCTCAGAATGACGTGGCCACCGCCGCCTCCATCGCCACCACTGGGGCCTCCGAACTCCTTCCGGGGCTCACTGTGGAAGCAGCTCGCCCCGTGGCCTCCATCTCCTCCACGGACCAGCACTCGCCGGTGATCCACAAAGTACCTCTTCTGTCAGGAGCACAGGGCACCCCACGCTGTTAGTGACACTTCAGATCTTCCCAGAGTGAACCCCCAAAACTGCTACCCTGAGGTCATCTCTAAGCCTTAAACCAAAAGTATCCCCCAAGTCTTCTTAAAACCAAGCAACAGTTAAGCTTAACTAGTAAGGAATGTCTGCCTCGAGCGTTGTGCTCTTTCGAGATCGATCTATATGGGATCAAAGCGACAATAACAACTCGAAAGATAGGACAGGACGCTTCGCGGGCAGCGAGTGTACGTTAACGGGGGAGGAACAACTCAGAAAAGGAGGGTGAGAATGGTTGCACAACTCAAAGACTGTAATACAAGAAGAAACGGTTGAAGTCGTGTATGTTCTGCTATGTATATTCTCAACAACAACAAAAAATAGTTAAAAAAAAAAAAAATCCTCCCGCAAGCCCAAACATCCATCTTAAATGGAGCTTTTTCTATCTGCAATGGGGCTCTGACAATGAGAAGTTCACTGTAATTGCTAACCGCTCCTAAAATCCAAATATAAAAACACTCCCCCAGGTCAAGTGCATTCACAGAGACCAACAATGCGGAGGCAAGGGTCAGCGTGAGTGCGTGCTCCAATATAAACTCAACATTTCCAATCTAGAGAAAGAAGCGTCAGAAAACAGTTCCCAAATAAAGCATCTTTCGAGTTTAGTTTGGTTTGGTTCTTTTCAAATGGAAACGTATCACTGAAATGATCAGCCTTTGATGGTGGGAAGAAGTCCTAGTTCTTCGGGGCTGACAAAGAGCGAGAGAAAGAGGCTTCCTGGGCAAATAACCAGGCTTCTAACCAGGGAGACAGCGACTCTCTGGGGCCGGAGGCACACAGGGCGGAGTTCTAAAATCTCGGGCTGTAAACAGAGCCTTCATCTGAGTCGATTTTTCTACAGGCCCCTAAGTTAGGCACAAGCTAGTTAAAGAATTAGAACTAACTAACTAGTTAAAATTTAATAAGTATTAACTGATTCTACAAGAAATTCCAAGCTCCGAGGCCAGAGGATACAGTATCTGGGAGGGTGCTGGCTGCCTTTCCTCACTGTGTGGGCACAAGACTACGTGCCCTGCAGACCCTGCCGGCGCCCTGCGCGCCCCGCCAGCGCCCTGCGTACCCCGCCAGCGCCAAGGCCAGCTGCATTTCCATCAACTACTTCATAAACGGATCTTCTTCTTTTTTTTTTTCAGAAAATACACAAATATTTTAAGATTCTTTGGCACCATCACATGGAAAAACCATGAATTACAGCTTCAAAAACTCAGTGCCTCCTTTTGATGCAAGTCAACCCAATCAGTCACCCTGAGAGACAAACGCAGTGTGATCCCACTTATGTGAAACATCCAGAAGAGGCAGACGCAGAGAGAACCAGGTGTATTAGTGGTTGTCAGCGGCGGGTGGGAGGGGAGTGGTGGGGTATGGCTTCAGGGGCACTGAGTTTGTGTTTGGGGGATGAAAACATTTGGAAACGGATAGTGGTGAAGGTGGCACAACATGGTGAAGATCGTTAATGTCACTGAATTGTACCCATAAAAATGGTTGAAATGGCAAATGTTTTGTTATCTGTATTTCATTATAATAAAAATTTGAACACATAAAATAAAAAATTCACCCTGATATAAAAAAGCATAACAGATGAGCGCTGTTCTGGAGATAAAACTTAGGCTTCGTTCTTACCTTCTGGGGAAAGACAGAAACCACGTGGAAATGCCGCTACTTGAGTAAACATGCAAATCGCCATAGTATTTTTTCCACAGAAATGGGAAAAATACAACCATTCGTCCTAATAATGCTTATCTGGAACCCCTCCATTTAGGAGGAAACAAAATGGGTCATAAACCTGTATTTTCTCAAATTTAGTCAAAGACCATTTGTGTTACAAATACAGGGCTCTGGTAAACAACAAGAACACCGCCCACCCCATACAGCTCCGGCCGAGAACACTGGCCAAGGCTTATAGCATGCTGGGTGCCCTCCCGCTCGGTACTAACCACACCACATTCAGCACACGCAGGTCTCCATTTCATTTCACCACTTTCAAGAAGCTACATGTGCTCCAGGGAGCGCTGGTAGTGCAGTGGTTAAGCACCCGGCTGCTAACTGAAAGCACAGTGGTTTGAACCCACCAGCAGCTCCATGGGAGAAAGGGTGGCAGCCTGCTTCCGTCATGATGACAGCCTTGGAAACACTACGGGGCAGCTCTACTCTGCCTTGCAGGGTCGCTATGAGTCGGAATTGAGTTGCCGGCAATGGGCGCACAAGTTCCTTCAACACCATCACCAGGCTAAATGGAAACAATGATGAGGAGAGTTTCGAGGGAGAAACTACAGGCTAATGCCTTTAAAGTTAGAATTCTTACCAGCTTTTTTTCAGAAAGTAGTTTCTTTCGGGGGGACTCCTGGCGCTTGGCACAGCTGGCACAGCTGACTGAGAGGAGCTTGGCAGTGGGCTGGAGGAGCTGGCTGGGCCGGAGGACGAGCCGGGTGGGTGGGGTCCAGCGCCCCACGCCCTCCAACGCAGTCTGCCATCTTGCTGAGAAAAGTCTGGCAGGTACCATGGCCACCTGACCAAAGTAAAGTTGGCCAAAAAAAAAAAAAAATGCTGAGTTTAAAACTGACCATCAACCTGAATCCAGAGAAGAGCTCGACACAGGTTTTCATACAAATAAAGGTGCCAGTGGCCACGTCTGTCTTACGCTGCTCACCACCTTCCACCTGGAGGCGTGAAAGCCTCCTGACCCCTCAGCCTGAATGCTACTTGGGGGCAGGATTTGTGATGTAGGATTTAAACCATTAGACCCCTATAACACCTGATGCACTCCTCCATAGAACATCAAATATCTTCTAAATGAAGTATTAAAAAGGGAATCTGACCTCAAGCCAAATTTCTCAAAAATCAAGACTCCCATGATCCAAATGTTGGTGGGTGTTACCTTATGCAGTTTTTCAGTTGTCAGGCTGGGCTACAAGAAGACAGTAAACCATGGCGTGGAGGGGCTGAGCCACCAGACTCTGGAGGCACTTGCCTTGCAGTGCAGCCAGAAAGTCAGCCAGTGTGCTCGCCCCCTCCTCCCTCAGCCTCCCCTCCCCCTCCCCCTTGGCCTCCCT